GAGCTGTGAAAATGACTTCCCAGATTTTTGTATCTAACAGACACTTCTCTTACTTCCTCATCAACTTTCTTTGCCATGTATGTTATCAGTCAAAAGCTGTAATGGAGGAACATTTACTATAGCTTAACACAGCCATGGATGAATACCCTCAAAACACTTACTTTAATGCTTATTGTAGAGATTAAATTTTTAAAACGACAAAATAGACTTTATTGGGGAAAACCAAACAGAACAACAAAACAGAAACAAAACCTACAACACAAGAAACACTGGCCACCCCTGTTCATATTATCACATCTACTTAGAAGTATACAACAGACATCTGAACAATCTAATATGTTGTGATTGTAAATCTGTGCACTAGCCTATAATTTAAGATAGGCTGTTCTCTCTTCTACTTTCTTCTCTGCTTTTAAATATGTCATAACAAAGGTTATTTTTTCAGACTGTGTAATGAAGTGATAATTTTCCTGTATGATTTTAAGGTGTCTTGTGAGTTTCACTTCTTATTAGGTAAATATAGGCAGACTCTATAGTTTACATAACATGAAATACGCATTCAAACACACCATAAAACAGTATGAGAGACTACTACAAGCATCATCAGTAGAGGAAGCAGGTTGATATCAAACAACCAAAGACCTAGGTGAAGCCTAGAAATAAACGTTTGGGTTCTTTTTTAAAAAGTAATCAAGCAGGAAACCACATTGCACACAGTGCTATCTGAAAATCCACTCACCATTCTATCTGCCCCATCTCTGTGTTCTTACTGGATCTCCTGACAGCCTAACATGAACTTTCCCTTTCCTATCCCCCTCCCCAATACTAACCCTCTACCTCACCTCCTCAGTCTCTCAGTACTTACTTCCCAAGTATTTCCCAACTGTTTGAAGGTGTTCCTCAGAAAGAAAACCAACTCAGTACTGTACAGGTACTTTTAAACCATACCTATACAGCTCAGCAACACTATTAGATAGCAACAATCTTAGTATCAGTTGATAGACAGTAAGTACAAATTAGTAATAATGCTGATTACTAAGGAAGTAATGGCTATGCAAAATATTACTTAGCTAGATGTAAGACTGAACATAGTAAAGAGAGTACTAGCTCTCAAATTCATATGCAAATAGCTCACCTATAAGGAAAAATATCACATTTTTCAATTTAATTTGATTGCTATGTGGTACCACCACCAGCAGATCAATCAACTGATAAATAGATCCTCACTCTTGCAATGGAAGATCCTAAAATGCATTCTGAGAATGGTCAGGGTCTCAAATAATAACACAAACTTCAGAGAAGAAGAGTTCCTTTAATGGTGAGTGTAGAGAAAGAATTATGGGTTTTATGGGCTATTGTAGTGCAACAGAATCATAACCATCTCACTGACACCTTGCTTCTTTTTTCATTCATTGAAATAATTTTCCAATGCATTCTGAAAGTCTAATACAAAACTCTGCTGCTTCTTCACGTTAGGCTCTATTTTTCATTATATGCATCCCAATCATGACAGGAGACTCCAAATGCAGCTGCAATACCTAGAAATCCAGAAACATCTTTTTGCATGAACCATTTTATTAGAGATGCCAACCTGTGTCCTTTTGATGAAAAGTGGTAATATTTAGAACTTTCACCCTAAGTTAAAAAAAATGCTGAAATATTCAGAGTTTTTGTAAAACGGAAATTTAATTTTTCAATCAGCTCTACAGAGACCCACTAGAACATACAGGCCATGTCTTTTCACATGTAAGAGTATTTCTGATAACAGTGTTTTTTCCCAGACTACTTAGATTTTCACAGCCTGTTTTTGTTAGTTTCCTGGCGCTGCAAATGTGGTTATTTGATTTCTTTCAAATGAGACATACAGAGACATTCCCACAATATAAACCCATTCGTTTTATCCAGTAAAGAAAAAGAACACTAATGTGAAAGATTTCTTGTGAAAAGTCATCTGATGTAAAGGGAAATATCTTCTTTATGACATGGAGCATATCCACCTTCAAAACATATCTACCAAAATAAAACATGAATTTACAGAAACAGTTTTCTTTCTCTATGCCACAACCCTTCATTCAAGATGTGCCATATTAAACCAGAGAGGCCTATATATACACATGTGTATATATATTACATACTATATATATAATGTTGAATTATATTCCAACTACTCTAAGTTTCTGTCACTTTTTCATTTAAGAAAAACACAAAGTAACATCCCAAAGTGCTACACTCAGCTGTATGTAATTTCAAAGTTTGCACGCTCCTTCTTCTCTTCATTGTATATTATTTTGTAATATGCTCTGGAATATAGAGATAAGGCAAATGATAGGTAAATATGAAGTTATTAATTACAATAGCAATTCCATCGTTAACAATGCAATAAACTGCTAGATGAGAGATATTGTAGCCAATTTTATGTTTAATAGCTAACAGAGAGATTTTTCTCTAATAGAGAAAAGAGATTAAAAAAGAGATTAAAAAGAGATTAAAAGAGATTTTTCAGGGGAAAACCATGTCTTTTAGAATGATACTTTAAGATACATTATATTCATAGATATTGAGGGGTTTTTATGAACTCCTTCACTCACAAACAAGGGCCATAGAATTTCACTCCAATGCCTGTATTGGGCCCTTAACCCACAGGTGACCTAGAGCACCAAGCCTACAACTTCATGTTTTTCTAAGTAAGAAATAAGAAAAACAGCAAATAAGAAAATAGGACTGAAATAAGAAAATAGGATAGTAACTCAGATGAGAGATCTGTTTTAGTGAGTGTACTTAAGAAAACATTTATCAAACCATCCAGGGGAGTCTACAAGAGGGTCTAGAGAGGGTAGCCTAGTATCTAAACCCTTAGTTACAATTTTATTAATCTGTCTTTTGCTTTATTTTCAAAGCCTGATGTGAATTAGAGGAGCTTGTCACCAACAGCTTTGACATTACTTTTAGGGCAAGGACCTGTGGACATGAGACAAAGTCTCAGCATCTTCCTAGTGAGACACAGAATTCTAATGGGTTCAGTGGCTCTGTCCACACATTTCAATTTTCCTTAGTGGAAAAGAAAGCAGTAGAAGCAAGTTGTTGTCCTCTTTCTCATATTTCACCCATGTTAGTTTGAAGCCAGATCTACAAGTGTTGTGTCTCTTACTATCTAAGCTACCAAGGGTCCTTACACACTTCATCACCCAAAAATGCAATTTGTTTAATAACAAACTTGGAGGAAACTATTCGCAGCACTAGGATGTAGAGAAGAGAACATACATTCTGCATGAGGATGCATAGTGCTCTTTCAGAGAGCATTATGGTTTACAGTATTTTAGCTCACAGTGTTATAGTTTGGCTTCTATTGCTGATTCCCACAGTAAATTCCCGTCAAACCTCACTTACTGTGCCAGGTATTGTTAGTGCCTTTCAGAAAGCTAAAGGATTTGCTTGGACAGGTTGGCAGTGTTGTCCTCAGGACTGGACACAGGGCCAAGTCCTGGCAGGCTGGGTGACAAGGGCTGGCAAACTTCCAAAGAAATATCCAGCAGCTACCAAACCTCCCAGCTCCAGCACCCGCCGCCACTGCTGCAGCCCTGAGGAGCAGGGGCACAGGGTGCATCTGTGGGAGCTGCCAGAACCCAGACCACCTGCTCCCTTCCACACTCTGAGGGAACACTGAACGTAGCTCTGCCAAGGAGATGAGGATGGAGGGAAAGAACCTGTAACCCACCTGAGTGGAAGCCCTTGAGGCAGCAGACATTAGACAATGTTAGAAATATGGTTAGCAACTTGTGGAGATAAAAGATGTACAATATATATACATATATAAAACAAACCGCTTGTCCACAGGGAAAGAAAAGGTGGGGAGGAATTTCATCCCCAGGATGGCGAAACCAGGGCAGATGGGCAAGGAGGCACCACGACATTTGCATTCGAAGGGAACTTCGGCTGCACAGGAGCAGAGCATTCACGAAGGCACGTGTCCAGTGACACCCAGGAGATGATGGCCCGGACGAGATGCACATCTGAGATAACCGGAGCCATCAACACCTACCGTCTGAATGCCAGATTCCGGGAATCGGGGAAACGCATTGATCAATTCCCGGATGAAGGCTTTGTGCAGCCTGGACCCAAGAAAAGACCCAACATGAATATGAAGACCTCAAAAAGGAGACAAAGGGACTCTGCCGCGGGCAAATTAAAACGTATAAAACCCACAACCTCGGAACAGCCGGTGTGGACGAGGGGGATTTGGTGCCATAGAGGACAGATCTATGTCCACCCACCTCCCGGGGGTGTTACGCTGTCCGATTGATTGGTGGCTGTCAGGACTGTATTACGATCGCGAAATAAATTTTTTATTTTAATTTTTTTATTAAAATTGGCTGTTCTTCATTTTCCTTTATAACCGGCAAGCATCTGAGAACAGTCACTCCAACACATAGGCTGTATCAAGTCATGCCTAACTTTCTTGCCATGTAGCAGAGAGGTGGAAGTACAGGAGTCGTTAGTGGGGAATCGCTAATGAGCTATGAAGCCATTAATTGGTGGGGCAGAAGGGTGAGCCCAGCCCCTGGCAGAACACAGCCCTGGGTAGCGATGGGCAGCTTTGCTCCCAGCTGAGCTTGGCATGGCTCCTTCCAGGGCCTGAGCTATCGCTGAAATTGGGAAGCACCCCCAAAGGTGGGGCAGGGGGAGCTTTGCTCCTGAGGAGGTTTATTTTTTAGGGGATGGTTAGGAATACTATGCTACATATCGTTCTATGCCTCTTAGAATAAACAGACCGGCCGGTCGCGGGAGGTGATTATCCTGCTCTGCTCTGGCGTGGCCTCACCTCGCATACTGGGTGTGGTTTTGGGGGACACGATACAATAAAGAAATAAAGCTACTGCAGAGCGTCCAAAGGAGGGCAATGAAGATGGTGAAGGACGGGAGGGGAGGAGAGGAGAGGAGAGTCGCGGTCGGTTTAAATAATTTTAATTGGGTTCAATTTCCCGCTCCTGGTTGGGTGATCGGCCGGAAGTCGAGTGACGACTCCTTTACCGAAAGCTCGCTGCGCACGGATTGACGTCCCGCTCAGCCAATGAGTTACAAACGCCATCCTCCGGCCCGGCCCCGGCGGGACCGCGCTCAAACCTGCAGCCCCAAGCCTGGCCCATGGAGGTTGTACTGGGGCAGGTGGAGCAGCTGCCGGCGCTCCTGGCCGTGTCCCGCTCCGCGCTGGTGCGGGACTGGGACTCCCTCACCCTGGATAGGGCTCTAGAGTGGGCCCGCTATTTCCAGCACCTCTATGACCGGTTCCGTGCCCGTCCCCAGCTCCGGGAGGCCCTCGGGCGGCGGCTGCGCCGGTCTCGGCCGTACCCTCTGCTCGGCTTCCCCGCGCTGGGCCGCTGCCCGCAGCTCTTGGGGCTGGCGCTACTGGAGAACCGCGCTTTGCCGCCCGCCGCCTGCCGCCGCCTGCTCCGCAGCCTCCTGCAGCCTCCCGGCGCGGGGACCGGCTGCGATCCCCGCGGCCTGGAGCTGCTCGCCCGCCGCAAGGCCGCTGCCTGCCTGCTGGCCTTGCCCCGCCGTCCGCTGCGGCGTGCCCCCGGGCCGGAGCCGCAGCTGCAGGCAGAGGCGCAGCTGCTGCTGAGCCGGCTGCGGGAGGAGGCGCAGGAGGTCGGGGAGGCCGCGGGGCAGCAGCGTTGGCTGTGCGGTGTTCTGGAGCAGCTGCCCCAGCCCCGCACCTTCGGCGTCGTGGCGGCGGCGCTGGCTCTGCTCAAGCAGGGGCATGGCGCTGAGCAGGCCGGAGACAGGGATCGGCATGGGAGCGGCAGGCGAGGCGGGTACCAGGAGATCGCTGCGGGAGACGGGTGCTCCGCCGGGCTCCTGCTTTCCTGGCTGCTGGGCAACCAGGAACGGTTTGCTGCCTTCTGCCTTTGCCTCCCATGTTCCCATCTTGCTTTCCTAGCTGGTCACTATTCCCGGTTAAGCAGATCTTACTTGGACCTCTTGACCGGCTGGGGAAGTCACTTGGTTTATGACCCCTTGCAGGGACGGTGGGTTAAAAGTTGCCTTGACAAAGCTAAATTGTCCTGGGAGGAATTAAGGGAGCACTTCAGCTGCCTCTGTCAGGGATCTGCACTGCTTAAAGAACAGACCCAAGCTGCTCTGGAAGTGCTGAGGACACAAGATGGAGACTTCGAAGTCCGTGGCCTAAGTGTGTGGACTGACTTACTGATGGAAGTACCAATACATGAACACAAAAGCAACATGAAAACTTACAAAATCAAGTAAATCTGGTTAACTTTATTTGATGTGAAAGGCAAGACAACTACTCCTCTCTTCATTGAAAATCAAATGTTGTTGTGACTGCTGATCATGATTCTGACTGCATCTGGTTCTGAAATCTTTCAGGGAGGCCTGGTGTTTGCTTGTGATTGTGCTGTCATTTCTGGTCAACACAGAAAATTTCTTCCTTTTCAGTACTTGCTGATTAATTATCTAATAAAATAAAATCCATTCTGCTTCAAATATGGAGTAGTTTTCTGTTTAGAAAATATGACAGTTCTGATATGGTCATGGTAGTCATTTTTCTAAATGTTGGAGGCTGAGCAAAAGTTCAAAGGGAGGGTGGAGTTTCAGATGTGAAAACACAAATTCAGGGTTCCTTTAGTTTTGATTGTCTTCATTGGGCTGTCTGCTCTGGTGGCCATGTCAATGTTGATGCTTCTATAGCTCTTGCACTTGACTTAGCCCCAGGGTCAGTGAAGAAGGTGAGGGGAAGCCAACTGGAAATCTTCATGAGAAGTTCTAAAATAAAGGTCTTTATTAGTTGCTATATTACTTGATAATATCCAGGTATTTCCTAAGAAAAGTGAGATAAAATGTAGGATGTTCTGTGTGGTTTTCTTCCCATTTCCATAATTTATTACACTATTAATTGCTTTTGGAAGCAGAAAAGTGAGTGAACAGCAAACTTTTTTACTATGTGTATATATAATATGTATTATATATATAAAACTTTGTCTATATGTTTATACAAAATATATAATTGTATGTATAAAATATGTGATATATATATTTTATATGTATATATTATATATAATGTATATATAATATTTAACCTCCTTTGTTATTTTACATCTTTTCTGTTACTGTTAGAAAAACTTGAACAGGGTAGTTTCTACCTTTCCACTTTCATTAAAATGAGTACTGTAATGCAGAAGTAGTGTGTATATTCAGCTCTGTAAACTAGTATTACCAAAAGTGAGCACTGTAAAAAAAGAATAGTCAAGGAAGATGAGGCAAATGTATGGAACTACTGACAAAAGAATTACTCATTAATCTTTTGTGTGGAGGATGTGTCAGAGTTCCTGTAGACCATATTCCTACAGTTTCAAGATCAATTGAGACATCTCCTTTTGTTGCAAAAGTCTTGTAGGAGAGGTTAGAAGATTGTTCACTTATGCTTATAAGCTTAAAGAAAGCAAACCAGCTATTAAGTGTATAAACTGTATTGAAGCTAATTAGAGTAGTAGTCTGTCTTATGATAAGAAATAGTGTATGTAACTATGGCAGATATTTCTGAATGGCAGAACTAAAGTGGGAAGAATCTTGTGGTTTTTCAAATGGAAGCAATTAGTACAAGGATTGAATATTGTTTATCTGGGGAAAGAAATTATGCTTATTTGAACTTGTATGGAAGTAATTACAGACATAAATAAGTTCTTACTTTTCACCTGTTCTAAAACAGAAGAGATACTTAGGGGTAGCAGCCTTTATATAGTTAGAAGGACATGCTACTAATTATCAAAAATACAACTTTTCTTTGCATTCCTTGCTATGTTACATCAGTGAGGCAAGTTATGGAGATCTGTGGATGAACATATTCTAAAACTACAGCTGTGGCAGTTCTCTTGCTCTGTCTTAAATGGAGTTGTTTCCCCTTCTGGAACTTGCAGTCAATCTTAAAAGACACCAATGTCAGTGGACCTCCTGACTGAGTCAGTATTTCTGTGGTATCAAAAAAAAAAAAAAAAAAAAAAAAAAAAAAAAAATCTGTCTAAAAATCGGTCTGAAATCTGTCAGTGTTTAAAACTGACTTAGAAGTGTAAAGCATGAAGTTTGAATTTATGTTGTCTAGCCACAGTTCCCTGTGTTATGTAGTTTTGGCATTTGGTGTGGAAACTCTGCACTTGAGTTTGCTCTTAACGCTTTTAACAGGCGTAAGGTTTTTTTGTCTGTTGGAATACTTTCTGCTATCGGAGATTCCTGTTGAATAATACACACAAAGATGCTAGACAGAGTTATTTGCTTCTCCCCAGATATACTTTAAGGGTGATTAACAAATGTTGCAATAACCTTGGAAATGTTGTAGTATCAAATCGAACTTCAACTATTAAAACCTGCTGTTCCCAGGTATTTGAGTCTCTGGGACAAATTTCATTGAGGGTTGAGTCTTAGTTTTGCATGTCAGATTAAATATGTTTCATAATTTCTCTCAATGTTCACGATAAATTAAGTTTTAACTATTTCTAGAATGAATCAGATCCTTTTAGGGAGTTTCTTCTTGCAGTATTTCACATCTTCCTTTTGATAAGCTTTGTGTTATAAAATTCAGTTAATGAAGACATATCTCTTTCTTTCAAGTAATGCTTATTACATCTTTTAATACCTAAGTGCAACTACAGAATCTTTTACTAGCATAGCTAGGAAGTAATATGGCCATCAGTGATTTATTAAGAAAGTAAAGAAATAATCATGGGCGTGGACAGGCAAGAGAAAGGCCAGTATAAACCTTATATATACTGATTTCCAATTCTGTCTTCCTTATAGAAACAGGGATAGCAAAAGGTAGTTTAACCTCCGTGAGACAAAAGCACCTGGTTATTGCAATTACACAGAAATGCTCCAATCTGTCCCAAATACATTATAAAGAGAGGCCAGATCTCTGATTACCAAATTCCAAAATCCATATGGTATTCATTGAACAAACACACTGGTCCACATTCCCTATTATTTCAGTGTGCTTGTCGAGTTCTCCAGGTAGCTGTGCGAATGATGAATTTTTTCTGGAATTCCATTTTTAATGAAAGTATAAACAGGAAAGGAACCTCCTCTTTTTAAATATTTGCAGCTCATGTGTGCAAACTCTTGACAATCTCAACTATCACAAGAAGAAAGACAGGCTAAGGCCTCTTCCACAATCATCTTCCTCCTTTTTTTCCCCCTTAATAAGGAGAAGCAGATCTCTGCTATTTATTAATTGATGATTGAAGAAACTGCTATGCTTGTGTTTTAGAACATTGGTAAGGATTGTGGAATGCGTCAAGAGGATTTTACTTGCCCAATCAACAGCTGAGACATTTTCCTGCTGTTGATGCTTGATTTTTTTTTTCACAAGAAAGGAAAAACAATTTACCCCTTGACAAACAGAACTGTAACTCCACAGGTAACATACTATGAGATGTCTAGATACAAAGTTGCCTTTTTTCTTATTGTGAAGTGTCTGTTCACTTGTACTAGGTAAGATCTAGAAGAAAGAAAATTATATATTCCAGTACTTTGCAGAATGTATGCAGATACTAGAATAAAGATAAATTATGTAGAATAAATTGTACATTTATGAAAACACCGTTAGCAAATTGGTACTGTTCAGGTGAATATGCAAGCCTGATTGTCACAATGCATTAGCATGATTTTTTTTTTTTTCACACAAGGTTTCTTTCCCCAATAGGTGGGGAAAGCCCTTTCCCAAATATGTGAATAAGGGTCTAATGTTCTTTTCAGTGAGCATGAAGGATGGTTGTTTTTTTTCTTCTCATGTGTAAGAGAATACTTATTAGGTCATGAAGGCAGACTAATATTTTAATCACATGGAAGTAACATTTTCAGATACTGTTTAACTAGAAAGTTAAAGTTGTATGACTAATTTTAGTTTTTGCTGTTTCTGGAAAACTGAAGGTTTAAAGCTAAATTCTTTTCCTTGTGAACAGTTTGGATGAATGAGTGCAGAGTGCCGGCAAAGGTCCTACATCATCGCCATTCAGAATACAACAGTACAGGCACCCTGCACTTGAGCAGCTTCTTTATTTGTTGGGCAGAATTGCAGAAAAATAAATAAAATGCAGGTGGAAAGGGTGAGGAGAAAATGTGGAAAGCTGCTCACTTTTGAAGACCCATTGAGAAAGGGTAGATTTCCCCTTCACCAGAGCTGAATGGCTTTGCTGCTGCTGGAGACAGCATTAGGTTGGTAGTTTTGTGATAAAAAATCAGAAGAGTTTTGATTTGATGTTGGCTATTCTTCTAAAACACTCATCCTCTGTGTGCCCAAATGACCACATTGATCAGTGGTGTAGCTGGCAATAATATTAAGGTAGTAAATGAGAAATGTTGTGCAGGGAAGGAAACTGTTTATTTAAGTAGGGGCTCGTCTCACAGAGGTGATACCAAAGGAACATCATTATATCTGCCCTGGTATAAAATAGATTTGAATAATCACAAGTATGATCTGGAAAACTAGCCTTTTATATGTAATAATTAATATAAATCCCTCTCATAGGCAGTTTGCTCTCAGTATTGTACCTGTCTCATGAGGAATTAATCAAACACATCCTTCTTTATTAATCTATTATGCACCTTACTGAATTCAGATTAAAAGATACCAGACAACCTGGAAAAAATTGCATGTTTGTTCTCCCCTATGTACTTCTTTCTAAAAAGTCCCAGGATAAAAAATGACTGTATCAATGAACTAGAGAGATAAACACATAGTTAAGGTGCATTCTCTTTGATAATTTCTCAGAGGTAGCCGACAAAGATAATTTAATTCATCCTTTAATTCCTGGTGTGCCAGTACCTTAGAGTTACTGATATTATTTTTAATACTTTATTATATGCCAATAATTTTCCATTGTGTAAGTTCTTTCACAACTAGATGTCTGTGTCCCTAAATCTTTAGAGTGGTTGGCATTTTATTTACAGTTAGTATTTTGATTCATCTCAGATACCACAGAGGGTGGCAGCAGAGCCTCTCTACACATATATGCTTGGACTTCTGATCCAATGGGAGGATCCAAGATCAAGAGTCATTTCTAGAAGCAGAAGAGATGCAGGGAGTAAACACTCACTGTTGTCAGAAATTAGCCAGTCAGAAGTTTCCAACTGAAAAGTCCTATTGAAGGTTTATTTTGTCCTTGCAATTCTAATTTTACTGGCTCTTTAATGTAGTCTAGAATCAGGTAATAATATAAACCATATCCTCTGTCTCTGTCCACAAGCCCATTTTATTAATAATATTAGGTATGCAGCTCTTAAATTCCTTTTCTATTACATGATAAATTCCATAGCATTATGTGATCAATTTACTGTAACACTTAACTAGTACATTTTACCAGAAATCATAGTAGTATGCACTGAACAGAAAATGTAGCAATCAAATTCTGAATCTTATCTCAAGCTGCACCTTCCTGTTATATTTCTTCCTTCGGGTGGAACGTTCAGAATGATTGCTCAGACATGGGCTATAGTGT